CTAGGTCCATTGCCATGGAGCGCTTTAAAAGTTGTTACTAACACCTTGAAGCGCACCCGGAAGGCCACCGGCAGCCAGTGCAGCTCGCGCAGGAGAGGTGTTACATGGGAGCATCTAGAGGCCCCCAAAATCCCCCGTGCAGCCGCATTCTGAACTAGCTGGAGCCTCCAGGTGCACCTCAAGGGGAGCCCCATGTAGAGAGCATTGCAATAGTCCAGGCGGGAAACAACGAGGGCTTGAGTGACCATGCGTAGGGCGTCCCGATCCAGAAAGGGGCGCAACTGATGTATCAGGCAAGCCTGATGAAAAGCCCCCCTGGCCACGGCCGTCACATGATCGCCTAAGGACAGCTGAGCATCCAGGAGGACGCCCAGGTTGCGGGCCCTCTCCGCGGGAGTTAATGACTCGCCCCCAATAGCCAGAGATGGAACCAACTGGCTATGACGTGACGCCGGAAACCACAGCCACTCGGTCTTGGACGGGTTGAGACGAAGCCTGTTCCTCCCCATCCAGACTCGCACGGCCTCCAGGCACCAGGACATCACTTCCGCGGCATCGTTGGGGTGGTCCGGGGTGGAGATGTACAGCTGGGTGTCATCTCCGTACTGATGAAACTCCACCCCAAAACCACGGATGATCTCACCCAGTGGCTTCATATAAATGTTGAACAGGAGAGGCGAGAGGACCGACCCCTGTGGTACCCCACAAGTGAGGCGCCTCGAGGTTGACCTCTGCCCCCTGCCAACACAAATTGCGACCGGTCCGAGAGGTAGGAGGAGAACCACCGTAAAACGGTGCCCCCCAACCCCCTAACCGGTGCAACAAGATACCATGGTCGATGGTATCAAAAGCCGCTGAGAGGTCTAGCAGGACCAGGATAGAGGAACAGCCTCTATCCCGAGCCCTCCAGAGATCATCAACCAACGCGACCAATGCCGTTTCCGTGCTGTGCCCAGGCCGGAAGCCTGACTGGCGCAAGTCTAGATAGACAGTTTCTTCCAGGTGCTGAGGGAGCTGTCGTGCCACCACACTCTCAACAACCTTCGCAAGAAAGCGAAGGTTGGAGACAGGCCGGTAGTTGGCCAAAGCAGCCGGGTCCAGGGAGGGCTTCTTGAGGAGGGGCCTCACCACCGCCTCTTTCAAGGCGGCTGGCAAGAACCCCTCACTCAAAGAAGCGTTGACGATTCCCTGGAGCCAGCCTCGTGTAACCTCCCGGGAGGCCAGTACCAGCCAGGAGGGACACGGGTCCAGTAAACATGTGGTGGTGTTCAGCCGTCCCAGCATCCTGTCCATGTCCTCGGGGGTCACAGGATCAAACTCTTCCCACAAAATGGACTCAAGACCTGNTGACCCCACTTCACACCTAGGGATTCACAACCGGCAGTCTGCGGCACAGTGGTCTCCCTTGGATCCAGGCCTTCCTTAATAATAACCGCCACCCCCCCACCCCGACCCTGGGCTCTCGGCTGGTGAAATGCACGGTAGCCTGGCGGGCACATTTCAACGAGGGGCACCCCCCCTCTTGGCCCAGCCAGGTCTCCGTAATTCCCGCCAGGTCCACCTCCCCCTCCGATACCAAATCATAAATGAGGGGGGCTTTATTAACCGTGGACCTGGCGTTACACAGCATCAGCCGAAAGCCGAGGCCCTGAGATCCTAAACCCCCTAGGTTGCAAGAAGAGCCATGGGGGCCGGAGCGCGCCACAGCTCGTAAACAGCGGGTGCGCCCTCCCCTAGTGTGATATGGCCCTCTGCTCCCGCCATATCTACCCCTCCCATACACAGTCTTAATGGAATTGCCCTCTATTAGGCAGACCCTCCCTCCCTCCCCAACTCCAGGACCTACGCCCACCTCGCCGAGGCCCTCAGCCGGCCTGGGAGAATTAATTTCAGCTTGCCCACCCCTCTCCCTGGAACCCCCTAAAACCCAGACTAAAAATTTGATTAAAAATCCCCTTAGGTTGCGTTTTGACCACCTCTCGTGATTAAAAAATCCCTCATAGAGGTGGGCCCTCGTTAATGCTGTGGGCCAGACCTGCGAGAGAGGGGACTCTCGCAGGGCATGGAGGTCAGCCGCTGAATACATCACGGGCACACAGTGACCTCCAAAGCAACCCTATATAAAAAATAGATGGAAACCCAGCCTCTCTCTTGAAAGAATAAATAGGGCTGGCATATGATACACAGCAGTTGCTGGAATTCTTTCAAGACTGCTTCTTTAGTTTTTCTACAATAAAACTACTGATCTGAATTTTTATGTTCTTGGTATTCTATTCTTAAACTTTCTGCCATGTCAGTTGAAGAAGTCTGCTGTCGTGTTGGACTGGGGGGGTAGTTGCTTTATAGTGGGTGTTTGTAATTGGCCATGCTTACTAGAGCAGCCATGTTATAAAAGACAATTTCCAACCACATAGTGATTTTTATAAGTGGGTCCATAACAAAGTCTCACCCATAACAAAGTCCCAAATTCTAGATGTACCGCCAAACTAAAGGCTGTCCTTGTTCTGTTTGTAACTCCTGCCCCCAAACAAATTGACCTTAATATCACTCTCTAAGAGTGAAGGAGCTCAGTATCCATTACTGATACTCCTTTTGCTGTATTTTTTTGAAGGTTGGCTATACTATCCGATTTGAGGATTGCACTAGTCCTGAAACTGTGATCAAATACATGACAGATGGAATGCTACTTCGCGAATGCCTCATTGATCCGGATCTGACACAGTATGCAATCATAATGTTGGATGAAGCCCATGAACGTACTATACATACTGATGTACTCTTTGGTCTCCTGAAAAAGGTATGAACTCTTTCAAATCATCCACAATCCTAAAATGATGAAGCAGAAAATTGCTCAAAGAAAGCAAAACACACAAGTTTGTCCTGAAGTTCAACCCCCTATTGATCTTTCTGTTTGTATTCTGCCTTCTTTTTTTTCTCCGCAGACCGTTCAGAAGAGACAAGACATGAAATTAATAGTGACTTCAGCTACACTGGATGCAGTTAAATTCTCTCAGTATTTCTATGAGGCCCCTATCTTTACCATTCCTGGTAGGACCTACCCAGTCGAGATTCTTTACACCAAGGAACCTGAGACAGATTACTTAGATGCCAGCCTGATTACAGTCATGCAGATCCACTTGACAGAACCTCCAGGTGAGCCATGGAATGAGAACGATCTTGAGACTCTCTCCAGAAGTTGCTTTCAAACTGGACAATTATTCAGTATATTCACTGTAATTATATTAGCCATATTTGTTACACTGAATTTGATTTCAATCTAATGAAGATTTGAACTGGTTTTATAATCTCTCTTCATCCTCCTCAAGTGAGCATTCCAAAGTTTAATATGGGTTTGACACTGAAAAAGTTTGTATGCATACTTCTGTAAAGCCTCTTTTATTGTCTATATCAGATATGTCAAACACATTGGCCCGCAGTGCCGTCCTGGAAATGGTGAAGGACCAGCCACTGTGCCTCGGCCTGGCCCAGGTGCTGATCTACAACGAGATCAGCCTTAAATCCACGGCGCTGCCCTGGAGCCAGCAAGGGACCACCCCCATCCCACCCTCTGGGGAGTGCGTTCTGAACCCTTCCCTTTTACCCAGGACGCCAGTCCTCGCGCGCTCGCAACCTCCTGGGTGCAGGCCCAGAGGCGGCAGCGAGGTGGCCCCTCACTGGCTCCAAGCCACCACCGTGGATCTAAGGCTGACCACATTCCGCACCAAGTTATACATCAGTGCTGCGCCCGCACCAGTGCCTCCATGCCCCGCTTGCCGGCTTGGCCTTGCAGTCTGCAAGGCTTCCCTTTCACTGGGACTGCCCCACCTCCGAGTGGGAAAGCTACGGTTGCTGGTGGCACAGCCACCGGCAATGCTGCCAATTTCTCCCCCTCCACTCGCCCCTTCCTGAGTGCAGAGGAGACAGAATGGGACCTTTAGGTCATGGAGCTTCTGCCTTCCAGCGTGCGATGGATGATAGGCGATCACAGGCTATGGTGGGGATGCGGCAGGTGAACAGCAGTGGCATGCGGCTTCTTGCATTGGGGGGGTTGGAAGCAGAACTGCCCTTTCGGCAGGCATAGAGTCAATCCAGGCATGGAGGCAATGGAGGGGAGGGTGGACAAAAAGGGAAGCTGCTGCTCCACACATTTTGTTTTTTGTTTTTTAAGGTACCAGAGGCTCCAGGCAGAGGCTTCTCATTTTGGCTCCTCCACCTGTCGTTGCCTCTGCTCCTGAAGGGCCTCTGCATGGCTCTCAGCTCACCTCTCCCAGACCCACACATGTGTTTGTGTGAGTGTGTGTGCACATGCGCGGGGGGGGTCTCACTTCTTTGCAGCCCCACGCTGTGACATTGGGGAGAAAAAGAATGGGAGAGATAAGAGAAGCTGCAATGGGAGCTTCTTGCAGCTTTCCATGGGGCTGGGAGCAGGAGCTGAAGGGGCCAGGGCGCAATGCAATCAGCGTCACATTGAGAAAAACAACGACTCCAAAAAAACAGCTTTCATTAGTTTGCAGCCTGCCATCGCAGAAGGTCTCTGTTGAGGGGCTTCAAGGGGTGAGAGCCCCCACACACACAAACACATGCGCGGGTCTGGAAAAGGTGAGCTGAGAGCCACGCAGAGGCAATGACGGGAGGGGGGTCAAAATAGGAAGCCTCTGCCCACCGCTGCCTGCCTGTTGTCACCTCTGCCTGGAGCCTCTGGCAGCTTAAAAAAAAGGGAGGGAGGGAGGGAGGGAGGAAGGAAGGAGAGGCAACTTGATTGGAGATGCCCCAATTCAAAGGAGAAAGCAATTTTGTGTTCTGTTTTGTCACAGACAGAACTTTGTTGGCAATCCAAGTTAACATTGGTATTCTTGAATTATGAGCTCTTGTGTGTTGCAAACAGCCATTTCCAGTGGGGAAAACAGAACAAAAGAGAGTGGGGAAAATATTTTCCTTTGCTATATTTCCAGTTTGAATTAGAAAAAGGCAGGGTCCCTACAGGAGAGCCCTTTTAAGGATTACGTGTTAATAGAAAATCAACTAACCTACCTCTGTTCCTAAACGCTAAAGCTGTTGCACATAAAAAGCAGAGGAGCTCTGATCAACTATCACAGCCCCCATTTTGACAGTTTTGCTGTACAACAATGTTGTCTGTGGATGACTCCACTAAAGGCAAGCACAGGATAAACTGAGCCTGGTTTGTTCTCAATCTTTTAAGTGGCCACAAACTACTAGCAAAAGTGGCATTTGATCACAAGGCAAGGAAGCATCGAGAAATGTTTCCCCTTTTGCATCTGAGCATCCGAGAAGGGACAGGAAAGGAGAAACGGAAAGAGGAAAGACAAAGAAAAAAGGAAAGAGGGGAAGAGAGCAAGGAAGGAAAAAGAAGGAAAGAAGGGAAGGAAGAAGAAAGGAGAATAAAGAGGGAAGGAAAAAGAAGTAAAGAGAAGAAGGGAGGATATTATAATGAGAGACAGGGAGGGTCTGAAGGAAGTCCTGCCTTTGGCCTGCTGCCCTTTTGCCATCCCCTTGTCCCCTCCTGACCTCTCCTGGTGGTCTCCCATCCTATTGCTGAGGATACTTTGGTTACAAAGCCAGGTCTCCTCGCATGGAGAGGAAGTGGGGCCCCCTCTGACCTATACACTTTGCCCTCTCACACGCACCATGAGCAACCTGGCCAAGGAGAGCAAGCACAGTAGCAGCAACTTCAAGGCTGGGCGCCCACTTGGGGAAGCAGAGCTGGGCAGGACTGGGCTGGGCTGTGAGGTCCCGATGCCTTGGGAGTTCGAGAACCAGGCTGGGCGCTTGCCCTCCACTGCCCAGGGCTCTGGGCAGCCTATGCCGCCATCCAGGAGTCTTCCGTGTGGCCTGAGAGGGACAGCAAGGCTCTGGTGGACAAGAGTTTGGCGTTTGCCCTGGTCTTGCTTTCCTCCACTGGAGACAGTGGATACCCCCAGCTCCCGCCCAGACCACACAGGTGCCTCCTGACATGAGTGACGTCGAGCTGGCCATTCCCACCCCAGCCATGCCCACTCTCCCCCCCCCCGAGGTCAACCACAACCCTGAGGTGGCCCTCAGTGAAATCGAGTTTGACACTCCTGGTCTAAACCCTTTTAGTTTGCAATCCCTTTTTCTTTTACACTAGTTAAGTCAGAATGGGATTTTCATTTTTAATAATAAATACACAAGATTTAATAATAAATATACAATATTTATTATTCAGGTTTGGCCAGTGGAAGCTATAAAAATTTTATAGTGGATATACCTGTTCCATAAGATAGAATAAAAATATTTGATGTAAATAAGCCTGATAAGATAGCTTTCTTGCCCTTGGGAGTCTAATTTGCTATTTCTAATATAAAGAGTTTTAGTTTTTATGGACAAAGAAATTCTCAAGTAGCTATCTACTATTAATTTAGACTCTTTTTGACATTGTTGGATTTCTGTGACAGTCACAAACCTGATATTGTTAAATGAGAACTTTGCTAAAATACAAATATATATTTCAAACCAGTTTATATATTAAAAAGAGAAATATTCAATACCAAAGAAATACCAAAGAATAAAGGAAGAATTCTGTATAAAGTTCCTGGAGAAAGAAGCCTATATTTTACATAGGTTTTTAAGAAAAAAAATTGAAATTTCAGGGGAAATCATATTGTATAAAATGTTATTTATTAAATTTATTTACTGCCCATCTTTCCATAGTCTAGTCTTACCAGTATGTTTTCCGTATCCATAGCTGTAGTATATCTGTCCTAATGTTAAATTTCTTTCTATCTGATTTACATAACCCTCACTGATTAGTAAGCAGGGGACGGGTACCATGCTCTGTTTAACATATCAATTTCATTTAATTTTTCATCTTCACTCAGCAAAGAAGCATCTGTCATTATGTTGCTTTTTCTCCTGGATGATTTACAGTTCCTTTATTCAGAACAAATCATTAAAATCAGCAAATTTTGTTCCAATTACTACTTTTTAGTGTAGTCTCACAGCTGTAAAAGCCACATACTTGCTTTTTATAAAATCAGATTGAAAAAAAATCACAAGAGAAATCTGAAATCACTGTCTGTTTCTTAATTGTAAATGTTGTTTTTGTATTGGCCTAACTATATGATTTGGTTTTCTTTCATACAGGAGACATCTTGGTATTCTTGACTGGCCAGGAAGAGATTGATACAGCTTGTGAAATTCTCTATGAGCGAATGAAGTCCCTCGGCCCAGATGTTCCTGAGCTGATAATCTTGCCTGTTTATTCAGCATTGCCTAGTGAGATGCAGACACGGATCTTTGATCCAGCTCCCCCGGGAAGTCGAAAGGTATCTATTCCCACTCGTGTGGGTTTTTTTACTAGATGGTTGTTATCTTCCAGTATAATATAATTAATAATTAAATCTTTGCTAAATCAAAAGATCTATTGAGCATCTTGTTTTCAAAAGTAAAATGTTTCTTTGCAACCCGTTAAAAGGCTGGAAGACATTTTCTTATTGTCTTTTCATTTTATAAATATGGGAATTCTTGATCACTTTATTAATGGGGAGAAGATGATATTTTTTGAGATGCTGAGAGGAAGTTGCATATATTTGATGGCAATAGAGCTGCTTGACAGTGAGATGGTCAGCATATAAAATAAATAAATAAATAAATCAGTAAGTTTACATATTGAGTGCTTTAAGAATTCTTGGGTATGTACTATTTCTCATTATTTTAATAGCCTCAGTTAACCCTAAAACTTCATTCCCTGTCCTCTTTTTTATTATTCAGATGCCTTTTTGGGGGGTGGGGATAAGATCAGATTATAAATTTAACATCTCAGTGAAAATATTTACAAATTCATTTAGATTCTGTGTTAGAGCATTGTGAATGTTAAGCTTATTTTTTGTAGTTTGCTGCCATAAATAACTTCAGATTGAGCTGAACTAAAAAACAACAGCAATGGATTTGCTTCAGTATGGTCTAACTCTATGTGAACAACATCAATACCAAGAATATAGTTCTTCTCTATTAGGTTAAGGCTTCTTCTGAATACACTCTTTTAATATGTATCAACAAAAAAGACAGATTTAAAAAACAAAAGTACAAAGTGATATAAGACATAGAAAGAGAGGTGGAAATATAGTGAATGGAGTGGGCATAAATTAGGTTTAGCTATGTTTTCTTTTGTTAGTTTTTTTAATTTGGGGGAATGTTTAAAATTTATTGCTTTGTATGCAGTATAGTATAGTATGCAGTATAGTATAGTATGCAGTACAGTATAACATTGCTTATTCTGAAAAGAAATATGGGTATGCACACACGAATGCATGCATGTATGTATGTATATAAAGCTGTGGGTAATGCACATGCATAGTACTTATCTGCATTTAATAGTCTACCTGAAAAAATATATATAAATACAAAATGTACAGGGACAAGAATATTCAGTGCATGAATTCTTATTTCCTACATCAGGAAATATTAAAGTAGCATTAAACTTGCCAGTGAAGTAAGCAATTTCCTTAACTGTCTCTCCTTTTCTCCATTGCTTAAACAGGGATGGAAGTTGTATTGCCAGTTTTATTGGCTAGTATACTGTCCAAGTCTTGAAACACAATTTAAAAATCCCTTCACGTAATATGTAGCAAGACATTTTGGCTTGTTGTTTTGCAAGTTCAGAAAACTTAAAATAGCCATTCTGAGTTCAGAATATTTTTCATATCCCTGTTCCTTAAAATTCTCTTATTTTCTATCTTCGTTCTGTTCATTAATCCTATTAATGTTGGATTTGATATTTTCCCTAATAGTTCAACCCCCTGCTCAGGCAGGAAACTCTATACCATTTCGGGCAAATGGCTGTCCTGTCTCTTCTTAAAAACTTCCAGTGTTGGAGCATTCACCGCTTCTGGAGGCAGGTTGTTCCATTGGTTAAATGTTCTAACTGTCAGGAAGTTTCTCCTTAGTTCTAGTTTGCTTCTCTCCTTGCTTAGTTTCCACCCATTGCTTCTTGTCCTGCCTTCAGGCGCCTTGGAGAATAGCTTGACACCCTCTTCTTTGTGGCAGCTCCTGAGATATTGGAACACTGCTATCATGTCCCCCCTCGTCCTTCTCTTCATTAAACTAGACATACCCAATTCCAGCAGCCATTCCTTAAACCGGACTGCTCACCGGAAGTACTAAAAATGAGCCTAAAGCTTAAATACTTTAGTACATTGAAGGGTCAATGAAAAAAGCCTCATGCTTGGAAAATTAAAGGCAATTTAAGTTAGCAGAACATCTGGCTAGATATTGTCACTAATTACACAAACAGAAGCTTATAAGAAATCAAGGGGTTTTGGACACACAATAGAGCCAGAAGAAACTGAATACAGTGATGTTATTAACTGCTACAATGAACATATTTTTATAGCATCTAGAAATACTTCTTGATCAACTGAAAAGCATATTTTCCAACAATTTGAGAATATTTAAAGTACAATAGCTCATTGTTACAACTCCTTTTTCTTTCTGTGGAAGACTGAAAATGTGGGTCTGATACTAAATGTTGAGCCCTAATAACATAATATTTAAGAACTATGTCAGACAAGTTCACAAGCCGCATTTACATTGTTGATAAAATTATTAATTGGAGTGTAATATCCATCCTCAGCAATTCTTTATCATTTATCCTGTTTTTTTCATGTTGCCTTGCATGACATGCAAAATAACAATTGAGTTTCATAAGATCTATCTGAATTGCATACCATGTGAATTGAATCTTTAAGAGTTCTAAAGAGAAAGGGAGATTTTTCTTCATGCATATTAATGTGATACGTTGAATTATTTAAAAGGCTCATTCCTAGATTTAACTTTTTAGAAATTGGAGCTACCTTAGTGATCTACCACCTTGAGTAGTAGTGCACATTAAGGGTTCTGGTTGTCATTTTATAAATTGCTGTTCTTGTAGGTTTAATTAATAGTAAAAGTTTTTTTTAATTTTGTGTACAAAACATCAATTTATACTAAATACATATAGAATTGTAACTAAATTTGGATTTTTAAAATTATTACTATTTTTATTTTCATTGATGTACATTGCTCACAGTTACATTTACTGTATGTGAAATGTGGCCAAATAAATAAAGTCTTCCCTCTCTTTATAAAGAGGGTGATTTAGTTATAAATTGCATATTTTTTTGCAATGCAATTCAAGAGTTTTTCATGGATTTTTATGAGTGATTTCCTGAACTTGTTATTCATTTTTTAAAAATAACACCTGCTATGTAGTCTTTGGCTTAGTTTTCCATTCCCCCCATCCCAATTTAAAACAGTTTTTTTTCCAGGGAGAATATTTCTGCATTTTCTGCAGTGTATGTATAATAAGTGAAGGTTTCTGACCACTGAATGAACAGCATGTCATAAAAGTAGCTTAATAGCAGTCCTGTTCTCACCCCTATTTTTTTCTTGTTATATTCAACTGTTTGCCATTCCTTTTTGTCCTCCTACAGGTGGTCATTGCCACAAATATTGCTGAAACTTCACTTACAATTGATGGTATCTATTATGTAGTTGATCCAGGTTTTGTAAAGCAGAAAGTGTACAACTCCAAAACAGGGATTGACCAGCTGGTTGTGACACCAATTTCTCAGGTATCCTCTATTTGTTGGGTACTATGTTACTTGAAGCTTTTACTAAGGGTAGTGTGCACATTGCACAGTTTCTGCAGTGAATGGGAATGTCTTTATCTTACTCCAATCTTTGAAGAACAATAGAGGTGTTCCTCAGATTAGGGTAGCAGTTGGCACTGAGATTGCTGTTGCTATATGAGGTGGTCATAAAGTGTGATGCCATATGTGACCACATCATGTAGCAATGACAATTCCAGCAGCCCTGATTGCTCTCATAACCAAAAGACACATAAGTTAGGGGGGAAGTGGTATGTAAGGAGTGGGGGAGGCCTGATGCAGGTTGCTTACAAGTTAGGCGGGGCGGTTGCAAGGAAATCAGGTGGGTGGTTGGCATAGCAGGGCACATGTGCAGGAAGGCTAAGAGGGATGGCGTAGCAGAGCACACATTAGCCTTCTGAGATAGACCAGACAGGAAACATGACTGGATGAGCTAATTGTTCTTTATTATGAGAACATTAACAGAATCCTGCAAGTCTGAAAGTACTAGTCTCACTATCTCCTTTTACAGCCTGATAAATTAGGAAGCTCCTGAGTTTCTTTCTCTGCTTGTTATGCAGTGTCAGGCTTCACCCTCTTCAGTGTGATTATTCCATAAACAGCATCTCTCCTCCATCTCCCAGGGTCATTCCCAATACCATTACATTTGTGCAGGGTGTGCACAGGAGGAGAGTGTAGCAGCGTATCTGCAACAATGTTTGGGAAATTTACCAGAATGATTTATGACCTTCTCTGTTGGCTTCTCCAATTACTTTGCTTTTGGGAAGTTGGCATGAAAGATGATAAGTGGTAAACATGTGACTTTGTGATTCTGCAACCAAAGTGAGCCAGTTGGAAAACACCCAAATTGCAGTCATGTTAGGGGATGCTGGAACTTTGTAAGAATCACTTGTTCAGTGCTGTCACAACTTTAAACAGTTGCTGAAAAAGTGGTCATAAGCAAGAACTACCTGTACATAAATTCTAAAAATGTGCTGTTACCTTGTTCTCTATACCAAGCTTTTGCCATGAAATGGCTTATTACGGCACTGAATCTTTGTTTATTCTATCATTGCAGTGCCGTATTGACACTATAGAAGACTAATCACTTTTCAGATTCAAATAGTGATGCCTCTACCATTCAGTTCTATTTTAAAGGCTGGAGGGTTTTTTAATGAATCTTGATCTTTGAATGCTAAATGTATGTCTACAGTATATGGAATATATAAAAACCTTTCATGAGTTCCATAGAGCACTTCTTGAACTGTTTTTGTAACTTTTTGCTTCTACGTCACATTCTGCTGTACACAATATTTGCTGCATTCCTTCCATCATTCATTTTTTCTTCTGTCTTGAATTACAACCATCCTGGGTCTAATTCTAATGCAAATTAAAATATTTAGTGGGTAAGCAGAAGGAATGAATTCTCTATGTATCTTTTAATTTGTGATTCCTATAGGCTCAAGCTAAGCAACGAGCTGGAAGAGCTGGAAGAACAGGCCCGGGCAAGTGCTACCGACTCTACACAGAGCGAGCCTACCGTGATGAGATGCTGACCACCAATGTGCCTGAGATTCAGAGAACTAATCTGGCCAGCACTGTATTATCTCTCAAGGTGAGCACTGGCATCTAAATGACTTCATGCTTTTGTTCAACATCTTCAAAAAAAAACCTTGCCCAGCTTTATAAAGATGGAAGTTAGGGGATTTCACACAAATTAATCTATAAAATTGAGACTAATATTTTGGGGAGTAGGCCTAGGAAATATCTTTGTCAGTTACCAGATGTGTGCACAACGCTTACTATCTTTTCTTTCTCTCTGACATACTCAGGCTATGGGTATCAATGATTTGCTGTCTTTCGATTTTATGGATGCCCCCCCAATGGAAACTCTGATCACTGCAATGGAGCAACTATATACTCTGGGAGCTTTGGATGATGAAGGGCTGCTCACTCGACTCGGACGCAGGGTAGGATCAGCGTTGTTCAGATTCCCTTTGGTGTGGTTGAACAGAAGAAAACAATATCCATGATAGTGTAGTCTTTGTGAAAGCTGTGTATAGGATGCCCATTTCTGCACTGCACTGTTGTTTATTATATGTGAAGTCCATCAACAGTTATAGATGGAAACATATTGGGACATTTATAAATGGAAACAGTTAAAAACATTTCTTCCTATACTCCTAAGCAGGTAGATCTATTGTTGGTTCTCACACAGTAGTTAGATGGAGGGATTGGAAGGAATCTTTAGCAGCAGCAGACGATGATGGTAACTTGCTTTGGGCTGGCGTTTTTCCTTATGGGGCTATTGGTGTATGTGTATTTTTCAGTTGCAAGTTAAACCTTACCCAAGGATACTTCAACCAAATTATGTTTTTCTCCTTTCTGACAGATGGCAGAGTTCCCACTGGAGCCTATGCTTTGCAAGATGCTCATTATGTCAGTGCACCTAGGTTGCAGCGAGGAAATGCTCACTATTGTCTCAATGCTGTCTGTGCAAAATGTTTTCTATCGACCTAAGGTAAATTGGGGAACATTGGAATGAAAAAGATTGCATCTTATATAACAACCATGCTCTGGACCCAGCTGGACTGGGGCATGGGAGAAGAATGGCTGATCTGATGAGTTGCAGATTTAATGTGGGAATGGAAAACTTGATTTCCAGCCTTATCCTTATCACACAACAGGTTCTTCATTTTAGAAAAAGATGTTATTAAAGTCGGGCTTTGAATTTTCAAGCATTATTTGGTAATCCTTCTCACATATTTATTAATAAACATTAATAAGATATATGTCAATTCTGTTAGGTTTGTAAAATCTAATCTAATGCAAAGAGGAAGGCACTAATTCCAATAACATACTTTCCAAAAGCATAGAATAGGGTAATTCTGAAATGTGCGACTTTGTTCAATTTCAGTTTTAAGCATTTGGCAGTGTTTAGTTTCCTAAGTCAAATAAAGTAATGTAAAAGACTGGCTAACATGTTGATATAAAAGTTTGCATGTTCTGCAGAGTGAGATCTTTAATAAAAATTTAATTTCCTGTTTTGTTTGCAGATCTGCTTCCACAGGTCCCTTGGTATTGCCAGCTATTTAGCATTTTGTAATTAATTTTGCAATCAATATAAATGATAATGTATATTTCAATAATTTGCTTGAAGGTTATTTCAATATATTTTAAAATTCTGTTTCATCCCTTTTTGCGCTCGATTGGTTTAAATATATTTACTAACATTTCATCATAAAATATATTCATCATTCTAGAAAATGCATATTTTTATATCTGAAAGGTGGAAATTAAATAAGACTAATTTTGTTTCATATTTGTAGGACAAGCAAGCTCTTGCTGACCAGAAGAAAGCTAAGTTCCACCAAACTGAAGGAGATCACCTCACACTTTTGGCTGTTTACAACTCCTGGAAGAACAACAAGTTCTCCAATCCCTGGTGCTATGAAAATTTTATCCAAGCCCGCTCACTGCGTCGTGCCCAGGATATTCGTAAGCAGATGCTGGGAATAATGGATAGGTGAGTTAATGAAATAGGGGGAAAATTGTTTTTCAGCCAAAAAAAAACCAGCTTATGGGAAACTATATTTGGCAATACTTGGGCTTGAATATTATCTGAAAAGAGTTTGAAAAAATAAGAACTAGATGTAGAATATAACAAGAAATTGATTGATTGATTGATTGATTGATTGATTGATTGATTGATTGATTAATTGATTGATTGATTCAGTTCGCATAATCACTCAATAAAGTACGATTTAGGGCAGCATAGACAAATAAAATAGCACATAATTTCCAGAACCATTAACACACTTTACCAGAGACAAATTCATCCAACTGAAAAATACCAACAGGCCCCAAATCTCCCAACTCAGTGCCTAGAGTAATATCCAATTATAGATCAGGTTTGTCTGGAATAATGTTGCTCTCCATAACCAAAAATGCAACTCCCGGGATTTGGTCATGTTATACCTGTTGTTGGATTAACTGCCATCGAGTTGATAATTGACTTTTACTGACCATGTAAACTTTCTCAGAAAATCCTCCTCTAATCTACCCTTTTAACACCTCACAAGTTCAAAAGCATCTTCAAAGACCAATTTTTATATCTGTGATGTATCAGAGAAAATAACTGCCTGCAGTTATTTTGATCTTTCTAAGGATAGATACATCATGTGAATTCAATTAACCTCTTTTTTTAAAGTTAATATTCCTTTTACCAGTGTAAAGTCACTGAAATGGTAGGTGGTTTCACTCTTTTGAGATTGACTGTCAGTAGTAAAAGAAGCAGTGGTACATTGTATATTTGAATTCTAATTGATTAGGAATGTGCTCACGTAGGAGACAATATTTAACAGTCCTTTCCTATAAAATATTACAATTATAGAAACAGTAGAACCAAGATAATCCGTTGTTGAAAATAATATTTAGGAATTAAGTAATGCTGATACTTGGGTATGGCGATCTAAAGCAAATTTTCTTTTGGGAAAAGTCTATTTTAACTAGAAAATTAAAACAAGATGCACCAGAGGATCTTATTATTGAACACATTGGTCCTAAAGCCTTTCAATCACCCCTTGACTTTAACAGGCACAAGTTAGATGTGGTATCTTGTGGAAAAGCAACAGTACGAGTCCAGAAAGCCATTTGCAGTGGTTTCTTCCGGAATGCAGCCAAAAAGGACCCACAAGAAGGCTACCGGACCTTGATTGATCAGCAAGTGGTCTATATCCATCCCTCAAGTGCCCTCTTCAACCGTCAGCCTGAATGGTAAGGGGTGGATTGAAATCAGAATTAGCTCTATTTGAATACCTGCTGAATTTGCTTTAAGTAGGTAAATAGAAAGTACACTGTTTATTTTGTATAGCATACGTTTGTTAGGGAGATTTACACTTTTACAGAATAGTCTTGATAGCCTAATTGGTTGTTCGTTCAGTTTAGTGCCTGTGCACTTATCCATGGTGCACCATGGGGGATGAACTAGCTTGCACATCTTCCAAGGCCTCTTCTGCTGATCTCGCCCCATGTCTGGGCAGGTCCAGCACTGGCTCTCATTCTCCTATGCAAATAGTCTTTCCAACCAGAGTGGTACCCATTTATCTATTTGCAATAAGTTTTCAAACTGCTGGATAAGCAGGGCAGAAGCTAAAGGCAAGTGACGGAAGCTCACTTCATCCCATAATGCTACCAGGGCTTGAACCGCTAGAATGTCGACCATTTCTGGTCAGCAGATCCAATGTCCTTAAGCTGCCGCACCACCATGCCTCCTTCACAGTTGCACTATGAAACAGCTGTATTGCTAGAAATTTGGAAACAAAAAATATTGCTATGAGGAATTTGTATGAATCCAGAATAATAGTATTTTGTGTTGACAAATATGTGGAGATCTTCCTAAATAGGTCTAAATGCCCCTAGAACTTCATAGTCTAGATAATTTTTTGAATTTGCATAATTTCTTCCATCAAGATAATAAGGTATGCCACTCTACTCTTTATTATGGTATGATACAATTCTGCTTTGGTGTGATTCAACTGAAAGTTAATGGAATCTTATAGAATAGATATATAGCCAATTGTCTTATGTGACATGTTATAATGGAGAGATTCAGCTATACAGATTCCACAAAAGCTTTTAGATTATAAACCAGATTCAAGATTTTGCTTTCATTGTATAAAGCTTTAAATAACAGTAAGAGACCAGAAACATGATGGCTGTTGTCACTATTACAGGTAGGCCTCAATCTACGATTGCAATTGAGCCAGAAATTACTGTCAAAAGTTTTGCTGGTCATTAAGCAGATCACCATATCCAATTTTATTATTTTTTTGCAGCAGTTGTTAAGTGAAAACCACAGGCATTATGAGAACCCATTGTACACAAAGCATTTTTTGCTGGAAATTGAAAGTTAAGCCAGCTTTCAGCAAATAATAATAGTAATAGTAATAATAATAGTAATAATAAAAAAATTGCAGTCAGATGACAATTGGACACTCCAAATGGTGGCAAATGCGGATTGGTTGCCAAGTGCCCAAAATGACTGCAAAGCAGGAGGCAGCTCTCAGAACTTTGAAACCAGGTGGGTAAGTAGCTCTGGGGAAGTCTGTCATAACTTCAAATGATCACTAAGGGACCATTTGTAAATTGAGGGCTACTTATATAGTCATGGACAGTCTTTCAGATCATTACAGAAGATCCTACTATGTATGCCTAGAACTATGAAGTGAAATTTTGTGGTTTCTTGTATGTAGGCTTTCTTTGTAATAATGCCTTTTTGACCACTAAAGATTGCCTTTATATCTTTTAAGACATTTTTTGACGAAAATTTATCTCTATATCCAAACCCATTCATTATGAATGCTGAATAAATTATTGTGGTTTCTGTTTCATTTTCTTTTTTCCTTGGCTTTTCATTTTCTTATGCATTTTTATATTTTTAATTTATTATGTATGTTATATTTTGTAAACTGCCTTGAGATACTTTGTTTAGGAAGCAATATAAACATATATTAAATAATAATAAGTTTTCCCCTCTAGAAGTCTTGAGCTGTGGTTCTTAAATTGGGAGTAATTACTCCCAGGAAGGTAATTTGGACATATCCTGGGGGTAATGAAGCAATTTGTAATTGCTTGTTTTTGAGTCAAGAATCCTATTTGGGACTGTTGCTGCAAAAATGCTTGTGTTAAAAAAACCAGTCTATTTTATGAGACTAATGACATTATTTGAGACTTGGAAAAGGAGTAATTGAGTCAATGGTTTAAGAACCTTTGGCCTAACTTCTAGCGTCCAAAATAAGATTTTAATGTCTATAGTTAAAAGAGCTGAACCAAATCTGGAGCTATGGCTTGATGTGAATGATATTCCTCTTTTCTTTAAAAGACAAGTTCTGCCACTTCAGAATGGTTCTTGATTCAGCCTTGGTCCACTACACTCAGGTGGAAGCTAACTAGATTACTTAAACTAGTTTTAAATATAAAGCATCTACATTCCTTTTTAAATTAATTGACTCTGAGTCTTCTTGTGCGTGCCTTTTAAGAATGGGCAGTCTATCTACATATAATGTATATGAAAGGCAGAAGAGCTCTGTTTGAAAAGAAAATGACATTCTGATCTTTTTGTTTTACTCTTAGGGTGGTGTACCATGAGCTTGTCCTCACAACCAAAGAGTATATGAGAGAGGTTACCACCATAGATCCCCGCTGGCTTGTGGAGTTTGCCCCAGCCTTTTTCAAGGTTTCTGATCCCACAAAGCTAAGCAAGCAAAAGAAGCAGCAGCGCCTGGAGCCTCTTTACAATCGCTATGAAGAGCCCAATGCCTGGAGGATATCACGGGCATTCAGGCGTCGATAAACCATATCTTTATGTGGCATAAACTGTTTGATATCTCTATACCACAAACTCTGATTTAAGGCGTATTTGGACATGTATTGTCGCTTTTCTTAAGTTTCAAGGCAAGAGATAAACCAGCGAAATGCAGCACTTGAAAGGCAACTAACTACCTTCATCTAATTGATATCATTGTCAATTTCAGAGATTTCACTTATTGTTCCACAGACTTTTTCCTTCTATTTCTATGCTGTCCATGGATCAAACGTTATCAAACATCTTGGTTAATAAATTAATGTTTCAGTGTTAATTTGTGCACTTTGGAACCTAATTATCATTGGCCCTGATTATAGTGGAAATGAGAAAAATGCCCGTTTCTGCATATAAGGAAGCCATTTTTCAGAGGTGATAACACTGAGTACCTTTTTCTTAACCTAAGCAGACCATTTAGGGGGTGGAGGATTGTTGGTGTAATGTACACTAACCTAAAAATGTTAATTGACATCATTATTGCATTAAAGTAATATTCCTCTATTTTATCAATTATTTTTCCAAGCAATATTTTTTTGTTAATTTTAGATGAAAAAACAACAATGCTTGACTAACGTTCTACCTTTTCTTACCAGTGTCTGCAATTATTCAACAATACATTCTTTTAAAAAAAAATATTTTATTAATTTTCCAATTTTACATCTAAGTATTTAAAAAGCAACATGGTGGCTGGGTTAATCAATAGTTCAATAACATACAAAAATCTTTAGTACAAATCTTAAGTTACAACATCAAATATTTCTTCTCTTTTTCCCTTAATATCTACTATCTCATATTTAAGCTAATACATTTCTTATTATATCAACTAAGTAAAAACATAATTATCACATTTATCAATAAATTTTTAACATACATATCTTAATTATTTTTACATTCAATCTTTATAGATAATCAATGTTCTGTTGTTGATTTTTTCCCAATTTTTAGTTTCCCATCAATATTCAAATTTAACATTTGATATTTATAATTTCCAGGCTTTAGGTAACCAAGGCTTCTCTTATCTCAATTCATAACAGAATCTAATATTCAAAATACACATCTTATCTATTTAAATATAGTCTTGTTCTATTTCCTAAAAGTTATCTATTTCCCACCATATTAAATCATCTAATTAATAATATAATATCCCCTTTAATAAATCAAAACCATTATATATATTGTCTAGGTTAATCAATAAATCAAACATATTCATATATTTTTTCTTTTGGGTCTAATTTTTAAATATTAAACAAATAGAATCCTTATTTTCAACTAGTTCCCAAATATTTTAAGTTTAATGACCAAAATTCCCCTTATCTCAACTTCTTCCTTTAACCCTCTAATTAGTAATATAAAATCCCCTCTAATAAATCAGAACCCCAATTTTCTTCAGCCTTATTTTGTCTTTCTTCCTTTGCCATCTAGCCTTCCATGTTAGTACTTTTAGATCATCAAATAGATCTCCCTCTATTATTATATATATCAGTGATGGCGAACCTTTTAGAGACTGAGTACTCAAAAACTGCCCCCATCCTTGCTCCACCTTCCGCCCTGCCTGCTCTGCCCCTGCCCACCCCCTGCCCTGCCCACCCACAGGGCCACACACCACCTCCATGGCCCGCAGCAGATCGCCCAGGCAGCCCTGCAGCGCCATGGCAGCCACGCCCTCTGCCCTTACCCCGCAGCATCACCTGCACGCTATGGGGCATGAGGACGGAATCTTGTCCCTGCTGCCCGGCTATGTCCTTGGCTGCGCTGCTCCATGCGGGCTGTGCCCGGGGGCGACTCTCCTCCAGAGGGGCTGCTGGTGAGGGGGCCACGGGGGGAGGCGGAGCTGGGGCGACGGCATGTGTGCCCACAGAGAGGGCTCCGAGTGCCGCCTCTGGCATGCATGCCATAGGTTCACCACCACTGATATATATTATTTGAAATAAGAGAGACCATTTAGTTACCATTTTTTTGGGAAGAACTAGCTCATTTGTATTCATTAAATCGTTTCCCTATTATTCCAATTCCCCATGATTGTCCTGATACGTTTATCTTCCATTCAATCTGTTCTTCTTTCTCAAATTTCTTCTGATTTATATAGAAAGTCTTTTCCATATTCAGTGTTGTCACTCCCTTTTCTGGATTTTCCATTAACTGTATTTGTTGGTCAGTTGAGACCTCTGTCTTAGTATTTGATTGTTCCACTCCTGTTATCTTCTGTGTTGTTAATTCTTTGATTGTAGTCAAAAGTTGGGTTTGTGTATCTAAACTGGCATCTTGTTTTTTTATGTTGGGTCTTATTTTGTCACAAGCTGAAAGAATGCTTTCATGTATTGCTTTCAACATGGAAAGGATCTTTTCTTGGTCTTCATCCATATTTTCTTAATAATGTGTTGTTGAGGACTTTAAAATCAGACGTTAAAAATAATTTTATAACTAGGTATGGGGCCTCTATTTCATGTATTTATAGGTAGTCTTTATAATAGAAGTCGTTTGTCAAGTAAAATTTTATAGTCCAAGGTATTTCATCATCTCATATAATAACCAATGTTCCTCAAATAAAGAGATAGGAAAGCAATTCCCCACATATAACTCTGAAAGTCAGTAAAAGTTTACATTCATAGATCAAGCAGGCCAGTTATGCCGCCCAGAAGTTCTCTTTACAGCTAAGTTTTTCATAGGTGGTATCAAGGTTGAAAGAATTTTATCTGAAGTCTGGGCTTCAAGCCAAGTCTCTTTTAGGCAATAACAAGTTGTAATACCAAACATCGCCACAAGATGTCACCGATGCCATTTAAAACTTTTTAAATCCCCCATTTTTATAATAGTTTTTCAAAGTTTATTTCTTTTCTTTTTAGATAAAAATCAGCATATCCAGTAGAAATAGGAATAAGAAAACTTTTAGGAAAACCTTTTTGTCCCCAAATTTCAAAAGTATATGCATCCAATTAGATCAAAATCGTTTTTATAATTGCTTTGTTTCCCCTGGGTAGTCAGTCACCACTGTTCTTAGAGGGTGGGGCAGGAATTCCCTTCCCTCTCTCCTCACAGTGAACTGGCTTTTAGAGTCTTAAAGAGAAGAACAGATCTCACCCAGTTTAATCCACATTGCTTTAAAGGTGCTTGGTAGTAATTTTGACTTTGGCTGTCAGCAGCTTAATGACGAGCCATATTGCTATGGCCGGTCTTTCCCCCGCCGGTTTGGAAAGCTGCCCCGGATCAAGCGGGAGTGCTGCTGCCCTCCCATGATCAAGCAGGTATCCCCTCCTCGCTCATCGCCCGTATAGGGTGATTTTTGACCCTTTCCAGGGTCCCGCAGTGGGATGAAATCGGACGCTGAAGATGGAGTTCACATCCATACGTCTGAAGGTGCTGATGGCAAACCGGAAGTCCAACAATACATTCTTGTCTTCATGATTTCAGGGAGAGCCCAAATTTGCAGGACTTTTCCCTTGCCTGAACTTAAAGATATTAAATCTATATTAAGAAAGCTTCATCCATATGTCCATAAGGAAGTGATGGTTCATGCAGCCATGAGTTGTACATCTGCTTTGATTCATTTACATTATAGTTTTGCAATCTATTTACAGTAAAAAAAATTGAATTAAAATGATAGCTCTGTGAGAGGGATTTTTTTTCACATCTGGGATTGAGAAGTTGAATGATCTCTGTCCTGTTTTTTTAACTTTGTTTTTTAAAAAAATAATAAGGAATATAGGGGCATTTTGCTTATTGAAGATTTTGTATTTTGGTTATTTCACTTCCTGGCAAAAAGTGCCAGGAAATTCTACTATTGTGGTTTCTGATCTTCATGGTTGTAAAACCACAAAACTATCAGGCACAAACCTTATGTGTTTGAAGTCAGCAACTTCTGTGCTTCTACTCTATATGAAGAGCTTTCATTATTAACTTCAATTTTGTACAATGAGAAACTGCCAAAAATAAATTCTTTTTTACAGTATCTTCAAAAGACATATTTTTCTGAGTTCTTGAGGAAAAGAAAACAGAAAGTGATATCCAATGGTTTTATTTGGCTCAAATTTGTCTATCACTGCAAGGACCTAGCATTTGTTCAGCTAGAGGCAGCTGACATTCCTAGCTATAGTACCAAACAGTGAAAACATCTGGTTTAAATTAATTTATAAGAATAAATTGGTATGAGTTGGAAAATTGGAAGAGAAATATTCTAAATGTTTAGAAAAACAAAAAAGAGAGCTGGCCTTGGAACCTGTGGGGAGAGGAAGAGTGGAACTCTGGAAAGAATGCAGAGAAGAGCAATAAAGATGATTAGTGAGCTGGAGGCTAAAACATATGAAGAATGGTTGCAGGAATTGGGTATGTCTAGTCTAGTGAAAAAAACGATTGGGGTGATACCACAGTTCCAATATTTGAGGTGCTGCCACAAAGAAGGAGGGGATCAACCTATTTTCCAAAGCACCAAAAGGCAGGTCAAGAAGCAATGGATGGAAACTAATCAAGAACCAACCTAGAAGTAAGTAGAAAAAAATTCTGACTTGAGAACAATTAACCAGTGGAATTGGTTTGCCTTCAGAAGTTGTGGGTACTCCATCACTGAAGTATTTAAGAAGAGATCGGACTGCTATTTGTCTGAAATGGTATAGGTCTCTTGCTTGAGCAGGTGGTAGGACTAGAAGACCTCCAAGGTCACTTCTATCACTGTTTTCTTAAATAAACACATGTACCATAAAGTAATTTTGGAATTGTAGTGGAAAAGGGCAGAAACTGGGTTAGGACAGGTCTCAGATTACAAAGGCTTTGGTACATGCTATGTTATCCAAAATGATAATTCAGACAAGTGCAATATGATCTGTACATTTTATTTGAACATTCATTTGTCTGATATCTGACTCATATTATGTACTTGTTATTACGCATTTCAATTATGTTAATTAAAAAAGAGAAACCTAGCACTATTAACTCCTCCCAATGCCAACAATTTTTTTTGTTTCCTTAATGTTTTTTGTGGCCATTTAATTAAAAAATTAGGCACCTAGAATTTTTTTAAAATAACCTCCTACTAAATAATAAGTATGACAATATATGTCACTCTAATATTTTCCTGGTTACTTTGTAAATTTGTCATCCTTTTTCTTCCATTCAGTCATATCTGATTTTTAGACATTGCCTGGACAAGTCCCTGCATTTTTCTTGGCAAGGTTTTTCAGATGTGATTTTTGCCATTGCCTTCTTCCTAGGACTGAGAGAAAATGATAGGCCCAAAGTCACCCAGCTTCATGCCCAAAGTGGAACTAGAATTCACAGTCTCCTAGTTTGTAATCTGATGCCTTAAGAATCATAGACTTGGAAAAAATCAATGGACCATTGAACTGAACCCAGCAGACAATAATTAAAGTACTTTTCCTCAGAGCTCAACAGTTAAAAGATATCCTAGTTAATATCCTTGACACTTCGCCAGTTATGAAACAGCTAGATGCCACCATGTGGTGGTGAATTATTAATTAATTGTTAGCAACTACCTCTTCTAAAGTATTTTGTCTTTAAAT